CTGGGGTACAGGCCAGAGGCTCAGGGACGGTGAGAGGCTTCACCAGAGACAGAGGTGAGCAGAACAGGCAGATGGATGAAGTACACTGCTGAGGGGAGCAGCGGGCCGGTCAGGAGAGGTCTGCCGCGCCATGTGGTCACCTCCAGAGCAGGCGGGAATCGAACTCGTGTGGAAGTGGCTTTAGCTTCTCAGTGCAGTGCTTTAACCCACTGCGCCACCAGGGAGGGCCCTGAATTTTATTTTTAATGCAAACTTGCCTCTGTGGAAGCATGCATTTCTTGGTCATGAACAGATACAGAACACCCAGAGTCACCCCCATCTCTACTTAATGGTTATTGATAATGACTTGAGATTTATGGTTTGATACACATGTTTGGGTTAAATTTCTGTAACTATATGAGATATGAGATAATATATTTAAGTTGCCTGCCAAATGGTAAGAATTTCTAAAGTATTTGTTCCCTTCCTCTTTATTACTTATTTTCCTCTGGCTCTAGACACATCTGTCCTGACTCTTGTGGACTGCATTTGAATCTTATGAGTGTTGGTTTGACTCACCAAAGTAGAGGTAGTTCTGTGAGAAATCACCTCAAGAAGTAGATATAAAATGTTACAAAAGGGAACTATATTTTCGGTTCATTACTAATACAATATGTTTCAGCTATCTTTATATTTATCTTGATGTCTAAAGTCGTTACTTCCACCATGAGACATGTACAGTTTTGCTTGCAAAATATTAGCATCTATTTTCATAGCATAGGTATGCTTTCATGAGTGAAAAGCATATTTCACATATAACTCTGTAAATAAGTCCTAATCCATGACACTTAGTAAATGGAATTAGCAATTTTATTATCTTCTACAAAGCTTGCTATTTGTTGAGTATATAAAATATTTCCACAATGTATTTGTTTGTTTAAATTGCTAATATTGGCAAGACTTTTTTCTCCTTGTAAATGTCATGGGAGGCCCTCCTTCCTGGTGGTACAACTGCTTAGGGCTCAGCACTACAAGCTAGCCACAGCCACTTCAGTGCGAGTTCCATCCAGGTCCCGAGGTGATCCACAAGGCCCAGCAGACCTCTACTCTTACCTGCTTGCTTCCCTCAGCAGCATACTTCGTAATTCTGCCTGTTCTGCTCCCCACTCTGTCTCTGGTGAATCCTCTCACCCCCTGCACCTCTGGCCTGTACCCCTGTTTGTATGCATAAATAAATAAATCTTTAAAAATAAATAAATGTCATGGGGAAGAACCTGTTTAATTTAATAGTCTAAACGTTCAAGGTCCAATTTTATTGGAGGTTTTTAGGCAGAGCTTAGTAAAATTGTTATCTCTGATCCTCTATATTCGTGTGAAGAAATTTATGGTAATAAGCATAGGGACAATTTAGAATTAACTTTACCATAAACAGTATGCTTATAAATGAGTTGTTTTGAAGAATTATTCTTTGGTTTAATTTAATGACATTAATGTCCAGGAAAAAGAGTTCGTGTTTAGTGATTTATATTGTTTTCTCATTTCCTTAGTTCCTACAGTCAATTCCCCAATGCATTTTCCCTCTGTGGCTATTTAGTACTCATTATAAGTTAAACCCTTAAATAACATCTATCCTCCCACCTCCTTCCTACACACATCCTTGGTAGGCATCATTTTCCTCCCTGATTTTATGACTTTGAATTTTATAATTCCCATATATAAGTGATGTCATACAGTACTTGTTTTACTCTGTCTGACTTAATCTCATTTAGTATGACCTCAAAACCAATCCATGGCTGACTGACATAGCACCAAATATATGCGTATATACAATTTACCACCATGTATGAGATATATGTAGTATACCATTACATACACATCCAGTTTCTTATCATTATACACCAAAAATATGAACAAAAATCTTTATGATAAGTAATGTATGTATCGTTTCCTTTCAGTGTATGAGTCATTTGCCAGTATCATACAAATATACATCTATGTGTCTTGGGCCAGTTTCCTTAGAAATAAAACATGAAACATAGATTATATTGTCTGATACTTAATTTTTATTTAAAAAAATTCTAAATTTAGTACTTTATTTTTTACATTGCCCTAAAGTTTTGGAAAATATATGATTTCTTCCCTCCATGTGGCCATCATTGTTCTTCCACAACTAAAGCACCCAGAATCCATCACCACAGTCCCTCATGCTCTCCTACCTCATCTTACCCCTTCTTCCTCTCTTTCCTGATGCCTCATATATATGGTCAATTTTCAAGGTTAGTCTTTGACCCTTTGCTTAATTTCAGTGTTCTATCTATCAATGAGACCATCCTCTATTTATATTTTTCCTTCTAACTTATTTTGCTTAACATGTCAACCCTTCCAGCTCCATCCTTGTTGCTGTCTGTGATTGCCTGACATTTAAATAAGGATGCACCCATCATGAAAAACTGTAAGGAAAAGAGTGAAATAGGACTGGAAAGGGCAAACAAGTATGGAAAAATGTGTCCTCAGATAAAGTCCTTCCTGATACACAGGGCCTAAGCTCCAGGCAGCATTTTATAACCTATGAATCAGTTAATCATTGCCAGTGGTAAAATATTATTACTGCATTAGCAAGTTGGCTCCCATAGGTGAAAGACAATGTTTAAAAAAAAATCCCCATTCATATTATACCACACTTAGTATTATAGATAATACTGGAAACAGGATTAAAATCAGGAGTAGCAAAAATTCCATAATGTAGCAGATAAATACATCTGCATAATGAATGAAACAGGACAGCACCTTGTTTTCTTAAAAGTGATTTGCTGAATTTTAGGATTAAGAAGCTTTTAAATTTTTGTCTCTGCCAGGGAGGTGACCCACATGGCTTGACAGACCTCTCCTGTCCCTCCAGCTGCTTCCCTCAGCAGTATTTCTGTCAATCTGCCTGTTCTGTTCCCCATTCTGCTTTGGTGAATCCTCTCTTACCCCACGCCACACTTCTGGCTTGTACCACAGTTCTTGTATGCATAAGTAAATAAATCTTAAAAAATACATAAACTAGTTGGAAAGGGAGGGAATTGAAACGGAAATTTAAAAATTGCTTATAAGGATTCTATAAAGGATTAACA